CTTACCCCGGAGCTTGCGAAGGGCCGTAAGTTTTAGCTTGCGGCCGGGCTGAAGCGTTATATTTTCTTTACATCCTTTTAAATAGTATTTCTTATAAAAAATCGATGCGGAAGGCAGCCTCGCACCACGACCGGGCGAAGCAAGGTCTCCTCTGGCCCCGGAGCTTGCGGAGGGCAGCCAGAGGCAAGACCTTGTGATCTGATCAAGCGTTTCAACTACTTTGACAATCTCAGTCTGTACCAAATTCCCAAGTCACTTCCTAAGAATGGATTTATGACTAGGAAGCTATTGTACACTAGAGGACTACTAGAGGACCAAATTAATTAAACATTTTGCGTTTCATATATACAAATGTATATCCCGGTCATTTTCTATTCAGTGTGAGAACCCACTATTGGGAGATTAGGAAACAAATTACCTGGAAGGAACCATATCTGAGGGTGTGTTATAGATCCGACGTTAAAGAACGTTAGACAGCGTCGTCCGACCTAGGCCTAGTACGGAGGAAGGTGCTAAGGTCATCGATATATCTAGAAGTATTCAGAAGGAGGCACACCAACGAACCAAGCTTTTACAGCATCACTTTTCTGTACCAGAGCAGATGATGAGCCGCTTGGTATATAGATAATTCCCGATATCATTTCGGCTCATCATTGAACTCTCGCTCTGATACATGTACTAAGTACTGCCCATGTATCAGTCTATATCTGATAGGTATTTAGTTTGGAAAAAGTCAAGACGAAAATTGGCAGCACCTTCCAAAACTGACAGCACGCCTCCGTCTCCAAAAATTCTGAGATCTCAACCTTCTTCACCTCGCAAACAAGATGAAGGATTATATTTCGAAACGCGACTTGGTGGGGCACCGCAGCTGCCTCACCTCTGAATCCAATATAAGTTTCTATCGAGAATTTCAGATGTCGCAAAAAACTTTCTTGGGATTGGATACCAAGCGGGTACTGCACCCTACGAAGTTCCGCAAGACCCTGGATGCAGTTCTAAGATCTATACAGCCAGGTAAATTCTCAGCAACTAAGGTTCGGCCGTCCTTGAAGGCATCCACCCACCTGTATTCACTTCGAAACATCTCGCTTTACGTATCTGCATGCTGTGCTATAGTGTGAAAACAGCTTTGGCTATAGTTTGATCAACAGGTATGCTCGTACTTACTGTTTTATCAAGGCCCACTCATCGATCAGTATTAAATTTCTCTATCAAGCTTGAAACAAACCCCTCTCTTTTATCTTCTTTTCAGTCTTAACTTCATCAGCTAGCTACGTTGAATTGCCATATTCATATTTCATATTCACAATCACCACGCCAGCGAGCGGAGCTTACTCTCTATTCCACTCACCTCATCCATCCATTCCATCCCATCTCTTCCTGCAATTAGATACCAGCAACAAAGGATCCTAACCCCAATCCCAATCCCAATCCCAAGCTTAAAAGAAATCCCTTCCATCAAAAAAATTGAAACCGACAACAATTTTTTGGG